CCCCAAAACCCCAAAACCCCAAAACCCCAAAACCCCTACCGATTTTTTAATATTGATGAAATAATAGAAATCCTAAAAGCTATTGTATTCCACCATTGGGTAGAAATTTAGCTTTAGGTCAGACTTTCACAACTTCAAGACCTGTTCGCAAGAGTAGTCTGTATTCTCAAACCAATTCCAGATGAATTTAATAATATCCTCATTTGAATTCCCGAAATCATAATAATAAGTCTCAAATATATTTGGCAATGTAAGCTCCTTAGTGATAGGATCAAATGCCACCTTGGAGTTTAGAAACTCCTTCAAGTAAGGATCATAGTTCTCGTCCATTGATGTCACACCATCAAACCATGCTATGTGCTCTAGAACTTGAGGCAGGTCAAGGCATAGGAAAATAGCTCTTCTATCGTAATGCTCTTCATCAATGAACTGAGCTTTCATATCATTGACGTTGAAGGTCTTGAGAATTGACCCAGGCTTCTTCCTATTACCTCTGATCACTCCATGCTTCAGTTCATCAAGAGTAAATTGAAAATCGCCAATTTGATAGAACATTTCTTTGTTGTCTGAATTTCCCATGAAGCTTCTCAAATTCGAAAACAAAGATCCTGATTGCTCCATCTCATCTTGATGAGGTTTTAGATATTTTAAGAAGCAATGAATGTACATTCACTGATACACATTCAAAAAGAATCAATATGCTTCTTCAGGACCATAAAACTTGAGCTCAACTTTTGATAATTTCCCGACATTACATATATAATGCTCATAATGCTGTGAAATTAGAGCTCGTTCAGCCACGATCTTATGCCCAGTATCTGTTTCTACGATAGCTTCTCTATAAACCTCTTCAGCATTTTTGACTAGCTCCAGAGACACCTCAATAGCATTTAAAGGCTCACCATAATATGGCCTTAGCATATTTGCTGCAAGATTATCTCTATCTTCGTAAAATTGATAGTAAACCATATTCAGGGGTGAGAAGCTCTGCTCTTCGTCAATTCTAGCAATATAGCCATGATCCATCATTTTCTGACACAGCATCAAGGCTCTGTCTTCATCAGCCTCAACTTTGTCTCTCATCCAATTAAGAATATCAAAGCCAGAACCGAGATTCTTAATTTTAGAGAACCAGCCACTCTTGATTTCCTCCAATGGAATATCAATTCGGATAAAATGAGCCATAATGTCAAGTCTCCCAGTGTCAAAAGTATTTGAGTCACTAAGAATAGTCGAACTGAGAGGGTCATCATTGTTCATATCTCATTCGAAAACAGTGGCTACTTCTTCGTGGAGTCCCCTCTCATTTACAAACTGGTTAATATAGTACTTGATGATGTCTGTCTTGGCCAGCTCCCAAATGCTCGGCCGTCTTGAAGGATCCTTATCTAGAAGAGCCATTAACAACATCCTGATGTTTTCGTCACATTCTTCATATGTGTGTTCCAAAGGAGTATTGATAATCTTCTCAAAGACTCCATAAATCGTCTTGGATTCAAAAGGTTTCTTAAAGAAAACAAGCTCGTAAAGGATACAACCAATCGCCCAGATATCAATTTTCTCACCATAAGGCTCTCCCTTACATACCTCCGGAGGCATAAAGTACGGAGTTCCACAGGAAGTTTTTGCAAGCGAATCGATGCTTGGTAATTCCTTTGAAATCCCAAAATCACCTATCTTTATAGTCCCATCAGAGATTAAAAATAAGTTCTGACTCTTAAGATCTCTATGTAATATATTCTTGGAGTGCATGAGCATGACTCCAAGGATCACTTGGGAGATCCAGTTGATAATAGTGTCAGTGTCAAAGGCTTCTCCTGCAAGTTTATATTCCAAAATCTTATCTGCAAGTGTCCCTCCTTCTGCATATTCCATGAAAATCATTATCTTGTCTTTTTCTACATAAGATTGATAGGATTTTATTAATGTAGGACCCTTTAGAACCTTCAAGAAATGAATCTCAGACAATGCAGATTCCTTTTCCTTCTGGTTCATGTTAGCCAAAGCAATAGTTTTTAAAGCATATTGATTTCCTGTTTCTATATTTTCTACTAGATCAACACTACCAGCCGACCCGTGGCCCAGATTTTTGATTGACTTGTAATTTCTCATATTTTGATCACCTTCAGTTGACTTTTCTTCTTTTATGTAAGACTCGAATCCTCTAACCTCTTGTGCTCTAAGAGGTTTGACTATAAAAGTTCGTGCACCTGTGACCAATCATTCAGAAATGATACTCTTATCGTTCCTCGAGCTCATGACAACTACAGGGATATTACTAAGAACAGGATCTGACATCATAACATCAAGAACCTCTTTTCCAGTCATTTCAGGCATGAGTAAATCCAAGAGCACCAGGTCAAAACTCTCCTTCCCTCCTTGAGAACTGGAGAAAGAATCTTCTCCGGAGTGAGTTGTCAGCTGAGTGCTCCCTTGATTAGTAAACTTAATCCCCAAATGCTCAAGAGCTTGCTTGCCGTTCTCCACTGAAGTTACGTCATAATTAGACATCTGTAATATATCCACAATAGACATTCTCTGAAAAGGATCGTCTTCCGCAACCAAGACCCTATGTTTCTCCATTATTGAATATTAAAATACAATTATGATCTCTTCAACTAATAATATTATAACTGGGGTTTTGGGGTTTTGGGGTTTTGGGGTTTTGGGGTTTTGGGG